ACTTAAGTTGGAGACAGAAAAATCAAATTAAGTCAGAAATGTCATCAAATGAAAGTTAGTAGCATGGTAAATATACAAACCAGCTATTACCCAGGTATTAGTAAAGAATGCTGCTTTAAAAAAGGCTCATCCTATCCTCCAAGGAAAAATGACAAAGATAACCACTTAGTAGCAAAGTAAACCTCATCACCTTATAAAACAAAAGGATTCTGACCAGTATGAATCTAACTACTACACACAATTATTTCTATTGATATATTCAGACACAGGCTATCATTCTTATCAAGTAACTAAGCAACACAATAAATTGTTTTAACCATCTATCTATTGCACTTGTACCTTCTGATAAATATGCTAGCTTCAACACCCAAACAAAAATATACTTACACCATATACCTTGCTAAAGCATTCAAAATGATTACCCCTCCCCCATCCTAGGGGCCTGCTATATTCACATATGTTAGGGCGTAATGCAGTTTTATCTCAAATATGTTATCTAAACTTGTAGAATATCCAACCAGCATTATGGAATTCTAAATATACTAAGTCTAGGACAAGCAGGCATACATTGACAGTCTGTATTGCAAATTGCAACTAAACAATAAAGATAGACCCTCACATGATTAAATTTTCCTAATTCTAAATCTCTCCCTCAGTGTCATGTTAGCAGCATAATTAGGGACAAAGGGACTTGGAGAGAAGGTGCCAACAGCCATACTATATCTTTTATCTTCAAACAGCAAATGCAGGAATCACCAAATGTTGATGTAAGGCAATATTTATCAAGGCCTTGACATCACTGAAACCAAGGACAAAGCAGACACATGAATGAAAAGTAATATATGAGGGAGAAATTATATCTGGGATATTATGCAGATAAATTTAGGTCTGAATTCATGACAGCCAAAACAGCTTGCAAAAGCCATTTTTATGTTTCTGTGCAACTACCATGTTTTAATAGCTACATTGTCTGAAGCTCTATACAGGATACAGTCTCTGTAATCTGAGAAAGTATAAGCCTTCTCCATGAAAATGAGCATCTTTACTTCCACACAGGAACACTGCAACAAAACAGGCTTACATTGTTAATTCTCTATATAGTCACTATTAAATGAAATTCTATCAAATTAATTTCCAGACTGTCACAAATGTCCTTCATGACTTGCCTACCAAAGACAAGTTAAACGCCCGAAAGCCACATTTTTACCTCATAGTATTTAAGTTAGAATTATCTATTTTGTATTTGCAAAAGAGGCTGTTCTTATTAGGTAGAACTGCCATTTCACTGTTTTTGTTTAATTTCAACCAACTTGTCCAAGTAGGCCATTTGGTAGAAACCTATAAATGGCACCCAAGGGGTCTGGGTTCTTGCTATAAAGAGGTCAGCTATTTCCTTCCAACTAAAAATAGTCAAGAGGATAGAGGCAAAGAAGGAGTAGAGCTAAATTTAGCAGCTGAAAAACAGTTTATAAAATTACTTCCATCTTGCCACATGATGGCTTTTTAAATTTTTTTTTTTCTAAATGGGCCTGCTCATAAGAGGTAGAAATCCTTTGTTATTTTGTAAGGCTGGCTGGAGTATACCCAGCACAGAAGTTAAAATAGGAAACAAAGTAAAACAACAACAATGTAAATAAATGGTAGGCAAGATGTACAGCAAATATCCAGGAAAAGTACACCCTCCCCATACTGCATGAATTCGAACAATTACAGCACTATCAGGTGGTTTTAACAAAAGACCCATTAGAGATGGAGACACAATCCATGTAGCAGACTCCATCATGATGAGTCAGAAGGTTTGGGTTCCAAACCTGACTCTACCACTGACCTATGAGACTTAGACAAGCTACTTCCCTTCCCAGCCACGCTCTAACTTGTCTATCTCCAAACAGACCTCTTTAGGGTAGTCAGTACCTATTCCTAGTACATGGGTGTACAGGATCAAGCATAACAGAGCCCTGAGCTGAGTTGGGGGCTCAAGACAACACTGTGATACAAACAGAATCCATGCAAAATAGTTTACATTTGACCCCTACATTTAAAAATAGCAAAAAAAACAGGAAATACTAAAAGTAGACAGACGCAATGACTACCTGTATGGCCATGCAGAAGCCCTGGGTCATTTTCCACAGCCTAATGCCGTGATTCCCAAGATGGATGGAACACAAATAGTACTTCATACCCAGTATTTCCCAGTACCGGTCTCTGGAGCTCATTGATTCCATGCCTTAATGGTCCCCAAAGGATGTCTCATCTGGTCCTTTTCAGTCACAAAGGTGTGAGTCCTCAATAAATTATTGCTGTCTACAGAGTGACAACAATTCCAGAAGGTCTTCCAGGAGGCAAAGTATATTATAAAGCTCAAAAGGATAGGCCCTGTAACCATGGAGATGGGGAAATCCCATTTTTACATAAATACAAAACCTGAAAAACTGGTGGGACAGAAGCCTCAGAATTTTGAAAGGCACACAGTCAAGCAAGTTCCTCTGCTCTTCCATGCACTATATTAAAGAATATAAAAAGCGTAAACTTAAGAAAGTCTTAAGGGGACATACGGTCTTTCCAATAATAAAAAGTCCCAATATTAAGACAAATGTAGGCTATGGAAGTTAACTTACTTAGGCAGGAGGAGGTCGGGGTGAATTCAGAAGACAATTTTCAGAGAATTTTTGTCCTAAGGGCACTTGGACAGTTGTGTAGCTGCCAATGTTTACATGCATGCATAATTATGTATCCTCTTTAGTTCCCAAACAGACTTTTAATCTTATAAAAGGACTGGTTGTTCTTTAGCCCTGTGAAGGATTTAAAGTGAGATGCATACAGTAGCTCTGTTTAAATCCCTGCCACTTTTACCATTATTGAATGTAGCCTAAGAAAGCTTTAATGCATTTTTGATGTGATAGATTCTCTATTTCCCTCCCTCCTCCCCCTTCTTTTCCACTCCAGCTCATGTACCAGACCTACCATGGGAAAGGTTTCCTGTTTGAAAATGATGGCATTTGTGATGTTGCAATTAACTGTTACTGTTCAAAGAAATCTGAAATCCTATTCTGGCTCCAATGATGTTTCATAACATAGAAACAAACTATTATTTATTTTGAAAATATGAAATGCCTTCAGATTTGAGAACATGTTGCCCACATAGCTCGAGGCCTAAATCTACCATGGGCAGTCATGTGGTAAGCAAGGTTTACTGTGTTAAGTCTTGTATATGCTGTGTGAGCAGTCTCAGTTAAAGGCTCACTAATAAATAGGTCAAAGAAGAAAGATGTGATATTACAGCTGGCACAGGGAAAGACCTGCATTTGTTACCCCTCTTCAGTTCTCCCATAGGAACACCAAAAATAACTTTATTTTTAATACTATTAAATTAAAATAGCAATATAGAAATTTTGATATTAAGCACAATCTTCATTCTGTTCACAATCTGTCATAAGAATGATATTTTTGGAGGAATGAAAAGAAGGTTAAACTTCCAGTATATTACACTAATATTTTTTTCCTTTTTTGTGTTCTTTGAGTATTGTAAGTGGCACTATAAATAGATTACTTCCCTCTATGCCTCCAGCTTTAAAAGTGAGTTGCATGTCAGGAAAGAAAATGACCATACCAGTAATACCAAACCTTTCTGCAGGATGGCAACAGATCTTTTAATACAATATGAATTAAATATTAATGCTGACTTGGAGAAATAAATATCTACTACAAGTCAAACTTTTAGGGTGTGGTTTTTGTGTTGTGCAATATGCCTACTTAAGAATTCAGCATGTAATTAAATAGGCCAAGGGTCATTAGCATAACATGATATTGGAACAATAGTTGACCTCACACCCTATTAAATCAAAATATTAGGCCAACTGCTGAGATTAAAATAGCACCACAAAACAGGGAACAGAATCAAGAAGATTACTATAGTTGAGAGGAAAGTGCTAGTCTCTGGTAGTGTTAAGTATCAACAGTGGGCATATTAGTTTGGTAGTAACATCTTGCTGTCTTCAAGTGGCATTGCCAAATGACAAAACCCTTAATATTTTTTTGCCTAAAAAACACATGCAACAGGTTTGCAATTTTGTTTTCGTGCAAACACTGCAGTGCTCTGCATTTAATATCAGTCACACTGAATATTTTTTTCCACAACACCAGCATTGTTCCATCAAGTTCCTTAAAGGCATGCTTTTAAGCTAGATGACAGCCTTGTAAATCATGAGGGGAGGGGTGGGGGGGCAATTAACTTATTTACCTACTTGGAGCTCAACTTCGATTTACTGGAGTGGAGTGATCAACTCCTGTGTGCCTGCTGATTCAAAGACTGGAGATGAATGGGATTCCCCTCCCCCACACTGGGGTGTGCAAACTCCACACTCTCTACGGTGTATATACCTTACATTTCCCCCCACCAGCATTTTAATAATAATAATTAAAAAAATAAGAGCATCTTAAAGCCAAGACAGTCATTTCAGAAACTCCTGCTCAAACTTCTCAAACACCCCCTGCACAGATCAAACATAGGCCAACTAAACAAAAACAAGAACCAACCCCCCCAGACAAATCTTCCCCTCCTTCACAGAAATAAGCCTGAAACTAACACAATTTCTGCCTCTAATAACCAACCAGGGGTTCAAAACTCTGGCATAATAAACCTTACACAAAAAGGCAACACTTTGGAGTCTTTAAACAGTGACTTTAGGTTAAACACACAACACACACAAAATCAAGTCACACTTGCAAGTCACATCCACACACCCTCCCCCCCCCAAATGTAGGAAATCCTAAAAGAAACACTGCCATCAATCCACCAGAATCAGATGCAGAAGAAACAACAGTGGTTTTCATAATAATAATCACATAAAAAAGAAACAGGAGGAAGTTGGCTGCATGCACTAGGAAACCCCCCCTCAACAAAACCCTTATGGCAAAAGGTAAATGATCCCTAAATTACATTGTCTCACAGAGGCACACAAAAAGGTCCAAATGATGAATAATCAGCCCTCCAAACTCACCTCTCTCAATGAGTATTAAAGGCACAGCTTTCACTCCTGGAAGCAGCAGAGAAAACCCTCAACTTCTGCAAAAACACACACAGAGACTTTCTTTCACTTGCTGTACATGGTGTAACTCTTCTTTCCCTAGGTCCCAGCAAGCGTTAAGGGAGACTGTAAATCCCCACCACCGCCACCACACGCACTCCTCCTCCTCCTCCTCCACACACAGCAAAAAAAAAAAAGAAAAAAAAAAAAAAAAAAAAAAAAAAAAAAAAAAAGAAAGAAAAAAAAAAATCAAAAGGAAGTCCCAGAGAGTGGGAAGAGGAAAATGGAAAGTTTTTTGGTGCGGAATGGCGGTCAGGAGGTGCTGCTGCTGTTGCTCACTACTTCATTAGCAGAGTTAGTGTGTTTGGTGTTGAATGTGAGAGTGCCAGGCTTGCACAGACAGAAGCAGCAGCACTGTTGAGACATACACACACACACACACACACACACACAGATCCTCACTGAGACAGTCAGTGACCTCCTAGGGGAAAAAAAAAAACCCCAACCACATTTTCCTGAACCAGGGGAAGAAAAAGAAAAGGGTGGGGAGGGGAGAAAAGAAAAAATATATAAAAGGCCACCACTTTTAAGAACTCCCCCTCCTCCAAAATCAGCCTTCCACACCCCAAAAAACTTCAGCCACCAGAAACACTGTCAACAATAAATAATGTGTTCCCCCCACAACCCACACAGTACCATAAGGAACTCATTGCAATCCACTCGTAAAGCTTATTTGAAATGTTATATTGAATTCTGGTCTAAAACAAAACAAAACAAAAAGATACCCCGTCCCCCTCTATCTAGTAGAAAAATGAAAGATTAAGTCTGTGGACTCACAATAGAATGTATTTATATAGAGATACATCTGTCTGTGTATATATATAGAGAGAGATATACACACAACTCTCTTTCTCCATATGTACATAGTTTGTCAGAGGTTGTGTGTACATGGAGGGGTATAAATAATATATCTCCCTTAAGGTCTGGTGATGGTGCAAAAGCTAATGAAAATGGCTTTATTAGTAGCAGTATCATCATGCAAGTTTCAGGCTGCTGGAAATCTATTCTGCGTCCTCAAAACCTATTTATAAAAATGACTCTGAAAAGTCTACTTGTCATACATCTAAATGTACATGTCTGCAATGCTAAGAACACATAATGGTAATAATGTAGAGTCACTGTACACCAAAACAGTCATGTGTGGACCCAGTTGGACAAAACCTCCAGAACCATTTTCTATTTCCCTGCTTATTTCCATTTTAATTATGTGCCTTCCTCTATAAATTGAGCCAGGCAAGCAAGAGCCTAATTCCCAGTAATTTGAAACATAACAGAATCACATCACAAGACAATGGGTGTTTTTCAGGCTTTAAAATCACTGGGAGCTTCCCCAGTCAAAAAAAGAGGCACACAAGCAAAAAATAAATTCTTATATACTGTATTATACAACACGAGTGATGTTAAAAATAATGTTTCTATACCATTATTAGAGCACATTAAAACATGGACTTACACAGTCTCCATAATTGTGAATCAGCAGAATGGATTTTATTACATATCAGCTGAAATTCAGCACCCAGACAAAATGTTGTTGTTCTTTTGCCTTGAACATGCCCTTCTTTCCTTATTTTTCCCTGGATTTGTACAGCTTGATACTGAGATATTACATTCAATCGAGGAAAGAAGGGAGCAATACAAAAACCAATGCAAGTAAATGATGCAACATTGCCCTGGTTACATGTGCTTCCCTTCCCCCAACGTCTTACTGGTGAGAGTGCCGTGTTTTTTCCGCCTGTAGGGTCACATTGTGGTTGATTGATTCTCCTTTCGCCTTGCTCAGTCATTCAGATTTGGAAAGTAAATAACAAGTTGACATCATTACAGCTTTCTGCATTACTGTGACACATTCCTCTGCTACCACACACACTCTATTAGCTGCGCAGCAAAACCCACTCTTTTTTTTTTAAGCCTGGGATTCCAGTGTTTTGTTGGTTGCCCTGGCACAGCATAGACTTTGAAAACAAACTACCCGTGAGTTTTAAATGTAAAATGCTTAACCATTTAAATGGTAATGGTACATATTTTTGGACAGAAATAAAAGTCCTGCAACCCCCATCTGTTAATACAAAGCCATGTCAATAATAATCAGGCAAGCTATGTCGATAATAAATCAGGTAAGGCACTGGCCTATGCATACATCTTTATCATTCAATTTCTGTTTTATTATACAAAGCAGATAACAAAAAAGACTATTATACTTTTCTGGTGATAAAACTGTGTCACCATTTTGGTCTTGTGCCATATACAAAACAAACAATGTGATAATCACCCCTAAAGATTGCATGGAGTGTCTGTTTTGATATACTACTCCCTACAGTGGCGATGCTTATTTTGCACTGCAATTCCTATAGTTTTTCAAATCACCACTCATTTTCAATGGGCTTGTTTACATGAGATGCTATGTCGCTATAGTGATGAGCTATGGTGACGTAGTGTTGGCAGGCACTATCCGTGATGCCACCACTACTGCGCAGTACAATGACCTACAGCACAGTAGGGTTGGAAAAGACCCGTGCACCTGCGCAGTCCCAACTGTGCAGTGGGATGCACATGTAGCTGCGTCCTGTGTTATTTTAACATTATAGGGGATGTCATCCTGGTTATATTTGTAGTCCCTGTTCAAGACTAAGGGATTTATCTATGTGCTGTCACTGAGAACACTCAAGAAAAAGAAATGCGACATCATAAATAGAAACAAAACAAAACTTCTTCTCTACATTCATCTAAGCATCTGAAATGGTGAAGAGCCAAGACATTCTAAAACATTGGAAACGTATTTCAAGATGAATGAAACTGAATTCAGAAGCTAAATACCGTGGTATGCAAAAAATCCCTAGACAGAAAGACAATAAGCAAATCCCTCTCGTTTGTTATAATCCTCCACTTGATTCATTATACTGATGGGATCAAAACTACATTGGATTTCAGGAACTCATTTTTAATTATTTTTCTTTTTTAGAAATGTAGAGACTGTACATGTAATGAACAAACTGCTAAAATCAAACAGAAAAGACATCATCTCCAAATGCATAGCAGACATCCTTCATTTTTTTGAGAGTCTGTGGGTAAGCCCATAAATGGTGTCAACTGATCAAAAACTTGGTAGAAACAGCAATTACTGTATTTTCCAGGGCTGGGACATTCAGTGGATGGGTAAGAGAATGTAATTGTATATTGGTTTGCATTCTGTGGAGATCAAATTCAGCACTGGCAGGGGCAGATAAAATTCTCACTGATGTCATTTGACCCAACTGCTTGTTACCATACAGCAGTCTTATGCTATTCCAACAGGATGAACTTTACAGCTATAAAGCAGGTGCATCAAGTTACAGGAGATACTACAGCACAAAGGGTTATCTTGGTAGACCAACACCAGTTCAGTGGCTCTACACTATTTCCACCCAATGAATCTCCCAGCAAAGGAAACTGGATGAAGGGGTACAGGGGTAAATTGATGCAGCTCCCCAACTATAAGGCTTCTGAAGTGATTCTTTCAGGCCTTATCCTAAGCTATTTTTCAGGCAGTTGAGCCTAAGTGTGATCGTGGTCACCCTACAAGTTACACTGGAAATCCAGCAGAGCACCTAAACTGAAGAGGTGCAAAACTAGGGTGGCTCTTTTTTTTTTTTTTACTTCCATTCCTCAGTTCCTGTGCCTAGTACAGCACAAAATAGGCCTGTTAAGAGCTGCACCTGCACACCTCAGGCTGCATTTTTCAATGCACACAACCAGTGAAAAGGAGTTTTTCAGCTAACCTACAAAGTACAAAATGAGGCTGAAGGAAAGGAGCAAGTAGAGGAGAGAACCCAAAACTGGATATAATAATTTTGGAGACACTGAATTAACATTTGCACATAGTTCGTCAAGTAACCGAGAAAGCCATGGCCAAGATGTTTATAATAATCAGATTCTGTGAGTCTCATTGCTCGAATCCACAATGTAAGATGCTCTGGGCTTAATTTTTAGTTGAGCTGTAGCCCTAATTCTCAATGAAGGAAATGGGAACTGTGGGGTCTCAGTACCACTGAAAATAAGGGACAAGCAGTTTCAAGTTGATTCCTGAACTGAAACAGGCACAATGGCTTCCAAAGATGTGGGTATCACTGCAAAGCTCTGAAAAAATGCTGAATTTAAAATTATTAAAGTCATTGCAACTTTTTAAATGCTTCATTGACTTATATGTTGTTTAGCTGATAAGTGCTTCAAGCTATAGCCACCCCCACACCATATTCACCTGTATTCTCTCTATACAATGGAAATAAAATTGATTTGCAGGCATGCTATGAATCATTTTTAAATACAAGCTATTTTTTTTATTTGTCACATTCTTATTATTTCCTAACCAAAAACAAGCATTTGTGTTCAATTTTTTGTGTTGTTGTTGCTGTTCATGCAAAGAACAAATTCTGGTGACATTTCTAATAGATATAATACAAATGCAGTTGATTTGGAAGCCAAAACCAAATAAAGTGATAGCGTGAGCACAAGTGCAATGGTTCTTTATCCCTAAAACTGCTTGGATACTATATATATAGGCACATATTTACACATATAGAAGTGCCAGGGGAGTAGAGAGAGAATTTTATAAATCTCTTGTAAAGTGAAGATATTTTGTATTTTATCATCACAACATGAATCAGGCACTAATCTTGTTATGTATAAAAATGCTTATACATATACACAGGTGAAGCCCTGTTATGCTGCACAAGTAGGGAATGGGGGACGCCGGTAACCTAAAAATGCCAGTTACCTGAGGCACAGGGGTTTCTGGCTGGACGCAG